AAAGGCAGCCAGCAAAAAAAGGAAGGCGGACCAGTTGGTGGCCGTAAAAAAAGAGAAGCAATAGCAATCACTGACCGGGGAACGGTCAGATGATCTCCGTCCCCAGCCGGCTAGTGAACATATTAACATCACTTTGAACGATACACGTCCGGAGCGAACTGTTAAGGTTGGGACGGTTGCATTAGCAAAATTGGATGCAGACTTGCACCAATTATTGAAAGAATTCAAAGACATTTTTGCCTTTAAAGTGGAAAAGATGCCAGGCATCAGCAAACTCGTCGTGGATCCGAAAAAGTAGCCTGTTAGGCAAAAGAAGAAAAATCACGGTGAAGAGAGATCTCAGGCGGCATCCGCCGAGGTAAAGAAGTTGATGGATGCTTGGTTCATTCGGCAATGTTACTGCCCGGATTGGGTAGCAAATGTGGTCCTTGTCAAAAAGCCGTATGGTACCTGGCGCATGTGTGTTGACTACACAGATCTGAACAAGGCATGTACGAAGGATAGTTATCCGCTCCCAAAGATCGATAGTCTGGTCAACTCTACAGCTGGTCATACCTTGATGAGCTTTATGGACGCCTACTCAGGCTTTCATCAGATACCCTTGTGGAAAAATGATCAAGAGAAGACGGCATTTGTCACTGATCAAGGAATATTCTGTTATATTGTGATGTCGTTGGGTTGAAGAATGCGCCTGCTACTTTCCAACGAATGATTAGTACAGTCCTCGTTAATTAAATTAGGAGGAATGTAGAGGCGTACATTAATGACATGATAGTCAAATCCAAGCAACAGACGGATCACCTTGCTGACCTCCGAGAAACATTCACTACCCTCAGGTGACACAAGGTCATGCTTAATCCCAAGAAGTATGTCTTTGGTGTTGAGTTTGGGATGTTTCTCGGATTTTTGATTAATCAAAGGGGGATAGAGGCCAATCCAGAAAAGGTACAGGCGGTAATTGACATGAATTCACCCCGCATTGTCAAAGAAGTCCAAAAATTAACCGGTTGTTTGGCGGCATTGGGGAGATTCTTCAGCCGGTCAGCTGACAAGTGCCTCTATTTTTTCCAAGCAATAAAAAAAAGATAAGAGTTGAATGAGGGGAGGATGCTGAGGCGGCATTTCAAAAATTGAAAGAGCATTTACATTCATTTCCAAGGGTTGTCAGTCCTCTACCACAGGAGGTGCTTTACATGTACTTGGTCGTCTCAGACCCTGCCCACAGTGATGTTCTCTTGGCTGAGAGAGACGGCATCCAGCTCCTAGTTTATTTCATTAGCCATGTTCTTCAAAATGCTGAACTACAGTACCCCATGGTTGAAAAATTTGGCCTTGCTCTTTTCATGGCAGTCAAGAAATTGAAACCTTAGTTCTTGGCACACCCGGTTGTGGTCTATAAAGACCAACCTCTCAAGCGGCCAATGACAACTTTGGAGTCATCCGGCAGGATGCTCAAATGGACTATTGAAATGCAAAGTCTTAAAATCACTTTCGAACCTGGGAAGGCAGTGAAGGGTCAGGCGTTTGCTGACTTCATTGTCGAAATGACAAGGCCGGCTAAGCTAAAGAATCTTGACCAGGTTTGGAAAGTGTATGTAGACGGGAGCTCTACTATAAACGGTTGTGGTTTAGGGGTTATATGTCAGTTTCCTGAAGAGGACAAGTATGAATATGCACTACGTTTCAAGTTTCAAGCCTCAAATAATGAGGCGGAATATGAAGCTCTGCTAGCCGGTATCCGAATGTGTAAGGCGGAAGGGGCAAGAAAAGTTGACTTCTGCTCTGATTCACAACTGATTGTTAGCCAATACCATGGTGACTATGAGGCCACCCATCCGGCTATGATCCAATACCTACAGGCGGTTAAAGATGAGGTCGGGACACTTGATGAATTTCATCTAAGTCAAGTGCCCAGGTCAGAAAACAATCAGGCGGATGCTCTCTCTAAGCTGACATCATCCTCCTCCCATGATACTCCTAGGTTAGTCTTTTGGGAAGTTATGGAAAAAAGAATTATTGAACAAGATCCCATTGGAGTTCTGGATCGAAGCTCAACCTGGATGGATGACATCCGGGCTTATCTAGCAGACGACACTCTACCGGATGCATACTAAGAAGCGGCTGCAATAAAATAACGTGCTGCAAGTTTTGAGATTCATAAGGGAGAACATTTCAAGAAGGGCTACGTACAGCCGTTATTGAAATGCGTCATCCCAGAAAAGGGGAAAGAGGTTCTAGAGGATCTGCACTCGGGGTTTTGTGCATCATATATAGGCGGCAGGACTCTAGCAAAAAGGGCCAGGCCGCAAGGCTACTTTTGGCCCACCCTAGAGGCAGATGCAATGGAAATGGTGAAGAAGTGTGACAAGTGTCAAAAATTCGGCAAACTCATACACCGACCGGCTACTGATCTGACGGCTATTCACAACTCAGTGTCATTTGCCAAATGGGGCATCGACATTCTTGGTCCATATATGCCTGCTACAGGCGGTTGGAAGTACATTCTGGTTACCGTTGATTACTTCACCAAATGGGTAGAAGTAGAGGCGGTCAAGGGCATAAAGACAAAGGATGTCATCTCCTTCATTTGGAGGAATATTATCACCCAGTTTGGGGTACCTATGTCTATGGTCTTTGACAATGTCCCTCAGTTTGAAACGCCTTGAAAGGAATGGTGTCCTTCCAACAAGTGTATTATTCCAATAGAGGGTTTAGAATTATCGGAAAGCTAATTCTTCATTAAGGTCAAGTGATCGGAATGTCTAGGTGGAGCCGCTTCAGATTAATAATATTAATGTACAATTAATATTACAGGTTAATCTTGACTGAACCCTTCGGGTCGAACCCAACCGAACAACCGATCCGAGACGACGAATCAATCCGAAGGATTTTGATGAGCCGTCGGAGTTATACGAACAAAGACGTCGGATATCGAGCTTAGAGCGTCAAGATCGAGCGTCGCAAGTCGAGTCGAATTTAGAATTCGACAAGACGCAAAATCAATCGAGTTACAAGTATAAGCCTAGCCGTAGCCTCGCATTGGCCTAGCCATGTGAGTGCTAGGCTAGGCAAGACTCATCGCAAGCCTAGCATGCTAGGCATGCTAGGCTTATGCATGCTTCGCTCTGGTGCAAGGCGTGGGCTGGAACCACTAGCCTAGCCATCGCAGCCACGCACCATTGCATAGCAGCATGCTATGCTATGCGTGGTGCTAGGCGCTAGCAGCCTTGCTAGCACGCTTGGCAATAGCAGCGCTAAGCCATCGCAGCCACGCATCGAGCATTGCATAGCAGCGTGCTTAGGATGCAAGGTTATGCGTGGTGCTAGGCACTGGCAGCCTTGCATGATGCTAGGCAATGGCGCGCGACCAGCAGCCAGCCTCTCGCAAGCACTCAGCATCGCAGGGCTGGGCCTTGCTAGCAATGCGTGCTGTGCATGCGAAAGCTGGGCTAGGCATATTGTGAGGATAGCATTGGCGTGGACTAGCAGCCTTGCTAGGCAGCACCCAGCACAAGGCATGGCATAGCAGCAGCTCGCATGGTGTGCGTAGCTTGCTAGCTGTGCGCATGTGAGTACTGGCTGGCTTACTAGCACGCCTAGGCGCCAGGCGCCAGCAAGGCTGCCTTGGCAGCCAGCTGTTCCTAGCAGCCACATGGAAGAACTGGTTTGAGAAAAGTGGGGACCAAGAGTTGTGAGCATTGCCTTGGGCACCAAGGCCAGGGTCCCCCTTTCTTGGAATGGTCCTCACCTACCCTCTACTCTCCATGTGCCACTTGTAACTCATTGATTGCATTGTTTATTAATTTGTTTTTTATTAAAATAAATTAGTAGGAAAATGCAATTGTCCCACATTGATCATTAATGGGATGACAAGTTGATTTTCTCTATAAATACCCAATGGTTGGGCATTTGGGAATTCACTTGAGTAGAACTCAATGAGGCATCTCCAATTAGGTGAGAAAACCTCTAAGTTCGTAAAACTCCAAGTTTTATTGGTCGGGTCCTGACTAACCTTCGGGACTTGGACCGTTCGGGTCGGGTTCGTGGGTACGAGCCATTGGAGGCGTTCACACTTGTGACGCTCGAGCTTTCGAAGTAAGAGCTCGATTTGCGAGCGAAGCATGCATCGAAGGTATAATCTTTTATCCTTTTTTATGCTTTAAATTATGTTTTGCTTGTTAATTGCATTTATTATGGGGGCGGGTCTTGGCGGGTTTCATTCCGCGTAGTGTGGGTCACTACGAAACCTAACACGCCTACCCTAAAGAATTGGTTGGGAGATCAAGGGATCTCACATTATTTTGCATCAGTCGGTCGTCCCCAAGCAAACGGCCAGGTTGAAGCCTTTAACAAGCTCATCTCAAACAGCATCAAGAACAAAATTGAAAGGGCTGGCGGTGTATAGGCAGATGAGTTGCCTCATGTCCTATGGGCCATCAGAACAACTGAAAAAGGGGCAACCAGTGAAACCCCGTTTCTCATGACATACGCTACTAAAGTCGTCCTGCCTATTGAGCATTATGAGCCAACCCTTCTATTCATGCTCTATGATGAAGAGGCTAATTGGGAGGCCATGCGACTAGCATTGGACTCACTCCCAGAGCGCAGGGGCAACGCCTCCTTGCGTCATGAGATTTACCGTCTGAGAATGACGAAAGCCTACAACTAAAGAGTACACAAACGGCCCTTGAAAGTAGGGAACTTTGTGTTACGAAAAATGGAGGCAACCGGTAGGGCCAATGAGCAAGGAAAGTTAACTCCCAATAGGGAAGGTCCCTACCAGATCTATGACGAAGTGAGAGGCGTCAACTACCGCCTGGAAACTCCAGACGACAGGCAGCTAGCAAGAACTTGGAATAAAGACAACTTAAAAAATTACTATTTCTAAGACTTATAATAGAGTTTATTAATGAAAAGATGCTTTATTTTCACGTATTTGTGCAATATACAAACGGACCTGTAAAAATTTTACGTCTACTCCAAACATGAGTATATGCAAGCTAAGTCCAATACTTAGCAGCTACCTATGAGGCCAATGGCCAGATAACCTTAAAACAACTGCCTGCTCCAACATGAGTAAGCGATCGGCGACGCCCATCCGGGTGAATTCGTCGCAGAGAGCATCTCTCATTTGGGTGGCAAATTGTTCTATAAACTTGAAAACAAACAGCCCTACCGATTTTCTGGATTAAGACAACTCGCAGCCGTTTGAATGATCAAATGGAAACTTGGATAACTACAATTACCGCATGTTCAATAGCAAACGGTAACTAGTATCTTGGTTGGATATAACTGGTCTTTACTCAGAAGTAATACAAACGGTTACAATTGAAGATTTAAACTAAGTCATAACCTTAGCTGCTAAAACATTCCTTGGTTATGACAACTACACACGGCCAATGGCCGCTTCCTATTAGACAATTGGCAAAGACTGATTATCCCAAGGGGTAATTCACAGCCGATTGACTTGAAAAATCAAAGTTGGAACCCAGGCGCCATAGAGAACCAAGATATGAATTATTAGGACCAAGATATGCATATTTAAGATTAGAGGGAAGGGGTTTCAACTCTACCTCGGGAGGTGTAGTACTCTCCCCAACACTCGCTGCACTAAGTACTTCTTTGATTGGAGTAGTGAAGGGGTTGGCTTTTGCTTCCTCAAGTAGCCTGATGTACTCCCTTGATTCCCAATCTTCATCATCAACATTCCCCATTAGCACTGTTTCAAGTGCATCATCTGTTTTGCGTAAGGGGAGTTGCTCCTTCTGTAAATCATCAAGCACATCCACCTGACAAACAGTCTTTCCCATAGAAGGAGTGCCCATAGCATTCAAAAGTGAATACTCCATTTTCTCGTCGCCAACCTCAAAGGTGATTTTACCATTTTTCATGTCAATAATTGCACCTGCAGTAGCTAAGAAAGGCCTAGCAAGAATAATGGGAACATGTGCATCTTCCTCCATCTCCATCACAACAAAATCGCAGGGAATAAAGAATTTACCTACGCGAAGAGGCACATCCTCAAGTACACCCAAAGGAAACTTAACTGACCTATCTGCAAGTTGTAGAGATATGCGTGTGGGTTTAAGTTCACCCATTTGAAGCTTCTTGCAAATAGAGAGTGGCATAAGACTCACACTTGCACTAAGATCACATAATGCCCTGTTAATTTCAATATCTCTAAGTTTCACTGGAATTGAATAGCTATCTGGATCGCCTAATTTCTTAGGAAGAGTATTCTGCAAAATTGCACTACACTCTGCAGTCAAGGCAAATGTAGCATTCTCTTCTAGCTTTTTCTTATTAGAGAGCATATCCTTTAAAAATTTAGAATAAGATGGCATCTCGGATATAGCACCTAAGAATGGAATATTAATACGAAGCTTTTTCAAAATATCAAGAAATTTACCATACTTTTTCTCTAACTTGGTTTGGGCTAACCTTTGCGGAAAAGGAACCTTTGGCACATATGGAGCAAGAGGTGGAGTTGCTTCTTTTGGCTCTTCCTCGATCATAGAACTATCAATCACCTTCTCACTTTAGCTTACTTCTTCAACAACCTCCTTTGATGGCTCCTTGATAGGAGGATCTTCCAATTGCTTTCCACTCCTCAAAATTATAGCATTCATATGCCCCTTTTGTGGTTGCTCTGTCTGACCCGGAAAAATGCCCGGTGTCTTTAAAGATTGGCCAACTTGATGAGCAAGTTGACTTATCTGATTTTCCATGAGCTTACTCTGGGCTTGTAACTGTTGTATGGAACTATTTTGTTGTTGGATGGAATTGTTGGTTGTGGTGATAAAATTTTCCAACATTAGTTCAAGGTTGGATTTTTGAGGAGGTGGTTAAATAGGTTGTTGGACTAGAGGTGGCCTTGGTTGGAAACCAGGTGGTGTATTGTAGTTGTTGGTTCGAGGTGGTGGTGGAGGTGGATTTTGTTGGGCTTGGGTATTCTTGTAGGAAAAATTTGGGTGATTCTTCCAACCTTCATTATATGTGTTAGAATGGGGGTCATATGGCCTTTTGGGGTTGGAAGTGTAGAATGCATTGGCTTCCTCAATCGACATTTCATTTAAATTTCGTGGGCACTTGGGTGCAATGTGGCCTTGCACATTACACATTTGACAAGTCTCAGGTAAGCTAGTGGATGTTCCAGCTTGGAGTTTATCAAACTTGCTTATCAATGCCTGCACAGAGCTAGTTATCATTGGCCGTCATCCACCCTTTTTCACACTATTTCGGCCTCCTGGGTGAAAGTTATCATTGGCCGCCATCTTCTCAACTAGTTCCTTCGCCTTAGTTGGGTTCTTAGTCAATAGAGAACCCCCAGATGCAGCATCAATGTAGATTCGGAACTCATGAGTTAGACCATTGTAGAAAGTTTGGATCAACATCCATTCAAGAATACCATGGTGAGGGCATTGTCTCTACAATCGCTTGAATCTCCTCCATGCGTCATATAAGGACTCATCATCTGACTGCCTGAAGTAGATAACTCGTTTCTCAACCTTGCAGTCTTTTCCTGTCCCAAGAACTTGACTAGGAAAGCCTTCAGCAATTTGTCCCATGTGTCAAATGAGCCAAAACCTTCATCTCTCAGCCATTCCTTCGCCCTATCCCGTAATGAGAAAGGAAAAAGACGAAGTCTAAGAGCATCGTCTGTAACACTATTTAATTTCATAGTGTCACATTTCTCCAAGAAACTATCAATGTGACTCACTGGGCAATCATAAGTTGTGCCTGCAAACGAATCATTGGAGATGAATTAAATGAATTGTGGTTTCAATTCGAAGTTCTGAGCAGCGACAGGTGGTTTGACAATGCTTGAGAGGAGCCCGGTTGATGTATCAGGAATATCGTACTCCAAAAGAGATTTCGTGTCGTCTTCCATGTTTCCATTGTTTCGATTTCTCCCTCTTCTTCTAGCTCTTCGTCACCTTACAGTTGCTTTGATTTCAGAATCAAAAGGTATTAAATCGTCTCATCTTGAACCTCGTGTTTGCATGCAACAAGGAACTAAAAGCAGAGTATCAAAAACACAAGAGACAATAGCCGAAGCAACAAATAAAGCTTAGAAAAAACGAATCACAAATAATCAGAAAGAAATCGTTAGTCCCGACAACGGCGCCAAAATTTGATAGGTGTGTCGCGTACCTAACAAAAATAAACCTAACGAGACCACTATTATGTAGACGAGCAAGTACAGATCGAATCCCAGGAGACTACGGTTCACCTAATCAAATAGACTCAAGCAATCACTAAGCAAGTAACAAATCAATGGTGGATAATACTAAGAACTAATGTATGAAGAACTCAATTAATCTAAGAATGTAACGAATCATGAACTAAAGCATCCAAGATCGAGCATTACCACGAATATAATCAATGCATAAATAATTCTACCCCCAATAACAATTCAATCGACAAGACGAAAAGCATTCCCTAAACAATACCAAAGGTCTCTTCCGAGTTATCAATGGCTTCCCAAATCAACTATCAAGCCTATTTCCATGGAATCAAGCAAATAAGGGACATTAAACACAATACTTAACTTTCTAATCATTCAATCATCTACTTCCGTGATGACCTTCAAACCCTTAATTGAAAAACCCAAATCCCGTTAATATTCAACTTCCGTTGCAATAAGAACAAAGGGATGATAACAATACTAATTATTCCTAATCTAGCATTTGCATAAACACAATAATTTAAGCATATCAATTGGGAATATTATTGGAGGATTTAAAGATTCGATCTAAGCATTAATCATATCCGGGCTTTGCAAGATCTCGGATTATGAATCTACTCACACATACTAGCAAAACCAAAAACAAGATTCAATAGAGAAAACATAATAAAAAAGCAATAATAATTGAATGAGAAGAGAAATATATGAATACCAATGTTGCTTCAATTGAAAGAACTCAAATTGTTGATGAATAATAATCCAAGCTAAAAGAAGAATTTAATTGCTTAAAAGAGAGTAAACTAGGGTTCTTGGAGAAAACTAAAGCTAAAGGATATCATAAAGTGTTTTCTAATTGTGATTACAAAGGGTATTTATACCCCCAAAAAGATAGAATTGCGAAAATAAACAAACAGGCTTCCGCGAAACAGTGCCCGGTCCAACCGGGCGAGCTATGCCCGATCGGGCGCCTAGGGTACGATGTTTCATTGCCTTCAAAAGTCTTCAACCTTCTTGTGCCCGGTCCCACCGGGCAAGGGATGTCTTCTCTGTTTTCAAGGCAAATCTTCTACTCCTCAGTGCCCAGTCCAACCGGGCGAGACATGCTCAATCGGGCACATGGTATCTGCAGCATATATATAGTTCGTATTTAACTCATCCTTCCTTACCCTGTCTGACAGGGCAAGCTAGGGTCAATAGGGCATGGGGAAACCTTCTTCTTCATGCACTAACTTCTTCTATAAACATCCAAAACGTGTTAAATTCATCAAAGAAACTCCGCATTCCTATGAAACTCACAAAAATACATCGAACACAGTAGAGAAGTGATTGTTGGCGAGAAATGGCTCCAAAGAGCCTAAAACCATGCAAATATACGCTGTAAAACTGGGATAAATCATGGTATAAAACTCGTACATCAAATTCCCCCAAGCTAACCTCTTGCTTCTCCTCAAGCAAGGCAATCAAAAATAACAAACAACCAAGTAAACATACTTCACCCCATAATGCAATTTTAAACAAAGGACTCAAAATCGAAATCAAACAAGCATGCATCTTAGCCAACCAATCAAATCACTCAAACCATCGATCACCCTAAATAGTCGTCAAGCTAAATCAACCATGCACAACTCAAGAATCGATGACTAGAGTATCTCACCTTGGCGGTCACTCAACACATTATTTATGTGGCAAGCTAAAAGTGAGCTCGATCTCTCACCATCCCCACCAATAATGCAAACCCCCCATCTCACAACACTCGCGTGTTTAAAGGGTTATATTATCGCTCAACCTAGTCAAATGTTGACTCGAAATATGACTATACTCCAGCATTTTGACAAAAGACTCGTTTCACATGAACACAATACCACGCACAAAGATCGGAAGGACTTTTTCAAGCTTATAATGTAGGCCGGGATAAAAGGGGAAAGAAAATAAATTTGGGAAATGTGGGGTATTATAGTCTAACCGGGGAGCTATCAAATGCAATTAATCACATCTTCGATTCATCAATTTCATTATCATGAGCACATACCCAAATTATTCAAGAAACATCCACCACTACTATTCATATTTTTCAACTTCAAACTCTTTTCTTTTTCTCATATCAACAAATTTTTTCTTTCTTTTCTTTTTTAAGAACAAACATTCCTTCTTTTGTATCAACTTTTTTTTCTTTTTCCTTGTTGTTCTTCTCTTTTTATTTTTCTTTTCTTCTTCTTTTCAAGTAACAAACCTCCATGCTTATGATCCCTTCTTTTCTTCCTTACAATTCCACATTAAATGCCAACTCATAACAAAATTACACAAAACACCACGCAATGAAGCTCCCCCAAGATAGACTTGGGAAAAGTAACCAATTCGAGGCCACGGGTTAAATTTGTGAGTTTCACGAAAGATATGGACAAGCTACAACATGGGTGAGAAAGAAGGGAACAAACATTCTAAATTCATCTAGAGGTCACCTAATGAACATGGCCTTCGTCATTCTCAACATGCACGTGCAATGCATTATGACACATTACTAAAAGTCAAGAGTCAAAACTAAGATCAACATCACACCAGGAACTAAACACACATGAATGAATAAATAAGGCTCAAGCCTCACGGTTAACACAGTCAAGCTCCAAACTCATACATGGTTAACAACATTGACTTCTACTAGGGATCAAACAATTCGAGGTTAAATCATGATCTTTTAATCCACAATACAAGTCTTTCAATCGAAATTAAATCGAAAACCTTTTTGGCATTAAGGATAGGGGCACAGGGAAGTAGTTCAATGGTCGTTCATTATCATGATTCTCGTATTTTTTTCATTTTTCAACTTTTTTTTTTATACCCCCAAAGAAACTAACTACCAAAGCAAAGAAAACAAACCAAAGAAAATAAAAGAAAACAAACCAAAGCAAAAGTACTAAGAGAACGTACCAAAGCAGATATACATATGCACAAATGTCCCCCAAGCTACACTCAGCAATGGCCTCATTGCAACGTGTGGGAAGTGAGAAAGCACTCATGCGTCCTCGCTCGAACTCGTCATCACCACCATCATCATCGTCATCACCATCATCATCATCACCGGCCGCCCCACTACTACCTGCAATGTCACCCATATCGAGAAAGGTGTACCACGAGGGATGGGTAGCGTCCCTCGGGATATGACATTGCCTGCAAAAGAAATCATAAACAAGGTACATATACTGACAGAGATCAGTCTCTAGTGTCTGGAGACGGGAAGATAGGCCCTGTTGGCCTAACTGAAGCTCCTGTATATCGGCCATGATGGCCGCATGATTAGAAGATACAGGTGGAGTAGTGGAAGAGGAGGAA